AGAGAAAGCAAAGCTGTGAGAGAACTATGCTTGTGAAAGGGAGAGGTTCCTCATGGCAAGAATCTCTGGTTTTTTGATTGGACTTTTCCCAGTTTTCTGCATTAGGTCCATTATTTCCTAAAGATTCTAGATGCTCAGGAAGGTGGAAAAGTGTAAGCCACCCATTAGTGAAGCATGGACTTTAATAGTTAGAAAAGCTTGGGCTTCCTCTTAAATTACAAAGCTACTCTAAGATTTTCACATGAGCTGGTGCATATACATATGTATATGTACCTGCCAAAAAAAGCCTCTGGGTAGCCATATCAAAAACCCCATTTTAAAATTAAGCCTAAGTTTTAATAGCTTTCAAAATGCTGTGCTTCTGTACAAATCCTTTCTGTACTTTCTTTTAAGGAAATGAATAAAAAATTAAAAAAAAATTCTTTCAACTGATAAAATCTGAGATGAAACACTAGAATGACTATAATATCACTTTCCAGTGCTGATGCTTTGTCCTTTAAAATATTTATTCCATTATAACACCTAAAATAATACTTTTAGTCTGGCTAGAACATTTTTCACAATTTATTCTAGATGCTGAACTGCAGAATCAAGGTTTTACAGGATACAAATAGCTGTCCTTGCATGCACAGGTTGTCGTCCCTTTCCACTTCCCTTTCCCCATTTTCTCTTTTTCCTTTTCTTTCTAGTAGTCTCTGTTGATCAGTCACTGCCAACAAATTTAAGACAGTCTGTGCAAATTGAGATGCATTATTAAATCTTTCAGGCAGGGTACTTTCAAATGTGCAGTCCAAATCATAGCAGGTACTGACCCATTTAAAAAATGGGTAAGGTTTACATTTTTATGTGTAGGTATCACTGAGTAACATTATGTATCTAGATGAGACTATTTCTAGATGGTTAGTCCTCCTATAGTATGGAACAGACAGAAACTACAGAGCACGTCCTGTTGAGGTGCACATTCTACAGGGATATTCGTGCTGCACTCATTTCCCCACTGATGAATTGCTTCCCGGGCCATATGGAACAACAGTATATCTATATACTGCTGTCTGACACTAACCCAACAATAACATACAGTGTCGCTAAATTGTACACGGCCGCGATGGGTGTCCAAAGACAGATCCTGAGGGAGTGTTGCCCTACCTACTTGGACAAGGACAAAGTCTGGGAATGTCACCAATTTAAGATGACAGATACTGTGTCGAAGTATTTATTAATCCAAGTGGGGTTTTAAGACAGATGACCTTCCATGTATTTTCTTCTTTTTTAAATCTATGTATTTATTGAATGGAGTTTGTCTTTGACCATAATAAAGTTTTTATCTGTCTTTTTGTCTGTCTGTCCGTCTGTCATCTAGTCTATTGCAACAAAAACTACTGTGTGAAATCCCTAAAGCCTCCATAAATTTTTGATGCACCTGATGAAGTGGACTATATTCTGGGAAGCTTATGCCAGATGAGGTTTATCTTTAAACTATCATAAGACTCTTTGTTGTATTTAGACCAGGCTAGTGTTGAAGATGAGCAGGTCTTTTTTTGGTTGCCATCAAGCTGTGAAATGCCCAGGCCTTTAAAAAGTATTTTAAATGCTGCTTGCTTTATGATGTATGCTTACAGAGTGATCCTATGGCTCCTAAATAATGTCAAGAGGGCCATAGGATTTTTTGGATTCCCAGACACATGGTGAAAAAAGAGCTCTGACCTTAGAAGCTAGGATCCCCTTCTGCCCCTTTGCAGCTAGCTCAGAAAGAACCACGCTGACTGCTTATCTAAGGCCATAAGTGTGACCTCAAATAAGGGGTTAGGGGGCATCTTGGGCTAACAGGTAGAGAGAAACAGGTGCAGCCAAGATATTATGCATTCTGCTGGCATCTCTGCCTCCTTGCCTCTCCTTCTGAAACACCACAGTTAATGACTGAAACCAGCTGTCTAACTGCATAGTGGGATGAGCATGGAGGCAGCCTTTGCTTCCTGTACTTGTCTCACTCGATGTGTAGGATACTAGTGATTTTCCAAGTTTGGAGAGCTGTGGGCATTCTTACTGGATTGCACTCTTAAATGCCAATTTTTTAAATTGTTGCTTTTAAAATAACACTTGCAATGCATTTTATTGATTTTGCTTTTATTATGTACATTATTCTGAGAACTTTAGCTATAGAGTGACTCATAAATTGAATAAATGAAATGAATCATGTTTCATCTATGATTTTGAACACATCTTTCGTGAGCTCTGAGGTAACATTACTGTGACAATATGCTATTGTCAGAAACTTTAGAACACATCTGCTTGTCATCAAGTTTCCTACAACTTCATAGTTTAACACTGAAATGGTAAACTGTTCCTGTTTTGCTAACAACTTTGGGATGTGTTGTGCATGAAATGTGTGACATATTATTTTTTCAGGTGTATACATCTCACTTGATCCCTGTCCATTTGTAGGACCAAAGTGCAACCATCATATTTGCTGAAAGCCATATTAGTTTTGCTGAAAACGTCAAAATATTGAAATTTTGTTTTGAAAAATTCTAAAATTTTTATTTTGATTTGGTTTGTATTGCTTATATATGGTGGATTTGCATGATGCAGGCAAGATGATATGATTACAGCCATGGCTTCATAATTTTGATGTGCCTTGGCTAATGAATTATTTCCTTCATAAACACATGGATTGTCCATGGCTTGAATCTAAGATTTAGTCATATTTAGAATAAACCTGCTGAAATCAGTGGCCTTAGTTTACTCATGACTAACTTGCCTCATTGATGTTTATCATTTTACAGTAAGCATGACTTAAGTTTTGACCCAGTCCAAAGTATTCCACACTTTAGCTATTCTCATGATTTTAATTCTCTGTCTGACTGGGTGAGCACAATATGGCAACACATCATGGGTGAAAAGCAACAGTGGGTTGTTGTGTCATACAAACCCAGACAGATACCTATAGGGGCAGCAAGCTGTCCTGACAGCCCATGGATTGTCCTGTGAGTTGTTTGATCCATAAGGAGTTGGTGCTTCACCTGAAATTGCAAGAGCAATTTCCTGGTGGTTTGTGCAAAAGGGCTTCAGAATCTTTCAAATGATGTGGCAGAAATCACTGATATCCCCTCTGTGTGGATGAACTAGCTTCCTAACATTTGCTTTCCAATAGATTATCTCTCACACCTAAATGCTTCTAGGTGAGACAGTGTGGCTTCTGTACAAGCTAAAGCAACTTACCTGTTTTTTTGGAAATAAGTTGGTACCAGTCAGGTAAGGACCAAAAGGACAGCATATGTGCTTTAGAAATCGAATAGCCAGTAGAAGAACCACTTTCCTTTTGCTTCTTGGTTGCCACATATTTATAAAACTCCGATAACACACCTGAAGTCCAGGTGTACGGGCATTCCTAGAGAAGCTGGACAGCAGGTGTGTGTACATAATGTTTAATGTTTATTTATTTATTGTCATTAGCATCAACATCTTTTTTCCTGAGGTTTTCTCTAGTATTTGTGACCATTCTCCTTGTCTACCGCCTCATCTACATAGTAAGAAAAAGAGATATTACCCATGTTTCAAAGTCACTTTGCCACCAAAATTGTTCTGGAGAGTGATCAAAGGCCAGCATGCTGGGGATAGCCTTGTATTGTCTCCATCCTCTAGGATGTATTGCCACCACACTTCACTTTGCTTTTTCAATAAATCTAACTTTGTGTTGTGGGAGAAACTGTTGCAGCATGAGCCTCTGCAGAGTGCAGACTAAATTCATAATATTCTGCATAAGGTGACCCACTTGTAAGTTCCTCTTCCAGGCATTTTTCAGCTCCTGATTTATGTAACAGTATATTGGTTTCATCAGATAACTGTCACATCTAATTGCTGGCTATTTGTTGCCTTCGTCCATACAGTTGCAGTTTTGTGCTTTATAGAGTTTTAGCAAGACATTGTTTTATTTGCTTCTCTGCATTGGGAGGACATAAACATTAATTACAATGGGAAAATTATGTATGTCTCCCATGACATAAAAACATATTGTTGTAGTAGACCAACCTTCTTTTACTTACTTTGTTTTATTGTAGTTGCTGTCTTCATCGTGTGTTTAACCTTAATTGTTAAAGGACAAAAATTATAATAGTATGTTTCCCTGGTCAGTAGCCTCTGAAAATGACTAAATAATTATTTGTGGTAATCTTCATGTTTCTACAAGAAGGAGAATTTAGACTATTAAGAAGAGCTTTCTGATGGTACATGCTGCTACTTTTCAGCAGTGAGAGCCCAACTGTGGAGCCAGAAACCTTACTGAAAGGGAGGGACCATAGGGAAGTTTCCAGTCTGGATTCAATTCTTTACATGAGGAGAGGCTATTCTTTCCAGCTTTGGTAAAAAGCTATTAAACTGTTCTGTGGAGTTACGATAAAAGAACTGCATTTCAAAAAATTGAGTTGAGTTTTGGAACCCACAGGATGGCAGAAAATGACTAGCTCTCAACACATAGATTCCCTGGCCTGGTTTCTCCTGTTTTACCAGTATTCCATGATCTTAATTTATTCCCTTCACAAGTAATTAAAAGCAAATGACCCTGGGTAGCCTCCTATTTTTACTGGGAGGTCACCTTAGGGATTGTTTAGAAGATGGCATGCCAACTCTCTTGCTAAGCGTTTTCTCCAAGAAGCCCCGTTTTCACTGCTATGATTCCCTTTTATTAACTTAAATTACCTCTGATTTTGGGATGAAGAGGGGTATTTAGTAGTTTTCAGAAAGTGAATTTGGCCCTGGGGACTCCAGTTGCTTATTTCCATTTTGTGACATTGTAGCATTTCAGCCAACAACTGTGGCACTTGAAGAAAGACTCTACCATTTTTAGTCTGGTAAAAATCCTTGATACTAGAAATCCTTGTTACTATAAATCATTTTTCTG